CTGTCAATATACTGCTGCAACAATTTTTTAATTATCTTCAGTGAGATTTACTTGTGTGTGATATTAATGATATTTTTCAGTAATTTCCGCATTCTATGAGATCACCTTTCTTTGGAATAGGTACAAACGTGGATCTCTTCCAGTCAGTTGGCCAGGTAGCTGTCCTCCAAAGCTCTTGGCATACCAGTCCTCCAGTGCTGCATCCACTTGTTGAAACATCTCAATGGGTATTCTGTCAATTCCTGGCGCATTGTTTTTCACCAATTCCTTCAGTGCAGCTTTGACTTCATCCTTCAATACCATTGGTTCTTAATCATATACCACCTCCTGGAATAGATGAACATCGACCAATTTTTTCTGGTATATTGACTCTGTGTATTCCTTCTATCTTCTTTTGATTCAATATATGCTCATAGAATCATTCAATATTGCAACATGAGGCTTAATTTTTTTCTTCAGTTCTTTTGGCTTGAGAAATGCTGAGTGTTCTTCCCTTTTGGTTTTCTAACTCCAGGTCTTTGAACATTTCATTATAATAATTGACTTTGTCTTATTGAGCTGCTCTTTGAAATCTTCTGCTCTTTTATCTTGTCATTACCTCTATTTGCTTTAGCTACTCTCTGTTGAAGGACAAGTTTGAGAATCTCTTCTGACATCCATTTTGGTCTTTTCTTTCTTTCCTGTCTTTTTAATGACCTTTTGCTTTCTTCATGTATGATATTCTTGATGTCATCCCACAATTCTTCTGGTTTTCAGTAATGGGTGTTCAATGCATCAAATCTATCTTTAGATGGTCTCCAAATTCAGGAGAGATAATTAAGGTCATATTTTGGCTCTCATGGACTTCTTTTCATTGTCTTCAGCTTCAATTTGCACTCACAATCAGATCCTGGCCTTGTTTTTGCTGAAGATAGTGAGCTTCTTCATTGCCTCTTACCACAGATGTAGTCAGTCTGATTCCTGTTACTCCATTGGTGAAGTCTACTTGCATAGTTGCCATTAGTGTTATTGAAATAAGATATTTGGAATGAATAAGTTGTTGGTTTTACAAAGTCTATCATGTGATCTCCAGCATTATATCTATCTTCAAAGCAAATTTTCGAACTACCAGTGATTCTTCTTTGTTTCCAACTTTTGCATTCCAATCACCAGTGATAATTAAC